CCAGAAAATGAGGATTTGGGGGGAGCTGGGAAGCCGGACGCGGGCCCGGCGTTGCACACAGGCGGCGGATCCATACCCGGAACCTCTCACCCTCGTATTTCCCCGCTGGATCGATGTTATATCGGCACCAGGGCAGGGATTTCTGTGGAAGAAACCATTTTAAGCGCCGTTTGGTGAACCATCCCTTGGCTCCGAGCGTTGGCAGGCGAGCGTTGCCTAATTAGAGACGGCAACCGAGTAGCCTGCGAAACTCCCGCGTCGTTTTTATCTTCGTTAAGGCTCCCGCGACACTTCACTGGTTTAACTATCGCGCTCCCCAGCCGGCAGCCTGGGGAGAGATTATCTGCCTGAAGTCCGGCGGCCCCGAAGTTTATTATTTCTCCTTAACGAAGATAAGGGCGCGTGTTTTCAAAAGCAATTAGCGGTTTCGCGTGGCTCTCGCTGCGGTATCTTTTAAAGCAGCCCGGCTCCTGGGAGAGGAGAGGGGTAAAAACCCCGCCGAGGGGGTGTCCCAAAGAGCTGAGCCCCCGGGGCCGGGCCCGGAAATATTTTTGCTGATAAAGGTGCCGTTGGCCCCTGCTCCAGACGGCAATGCCGCAGGGGGGCAGCAATTCCTTCCACAAGGGGGAAAAAAAAAAAAAGAAATGCTGAATTTTGCAAACTGCATCATAACCCTAAAAATAGCCCGGCTTCCCTGGCGCTGCTGGGAGGTGTCGCAGCCCGTCGCGACGCCCGGCTTCATCAGGAGACGGCGAAGCCTCGACAAATAAATGCTGCGGCCGCTTGCAGCTCTGGCAGAGCCAAAAAAAAACCCCAAGTCCCTGAGCCGGTATTTGGACAACCTTACTTTGCAACGGCATTAAGTTAAAAAAAAAGAACAGAAACAAGAAAACCCTAGTCACTTGAGAAAAAAAGAATGCAGGGAAGATTGTTTATGCAGTCTCATGCATGATAATGATAATTTAAAATATTTAAATGCACGGTCATCACAGTTTTTAAATTAAAGCTTTCCTCTCAAAACATCTTAAGTGAGGGGAGTTCTTTCAGGTAATAGTTTTCACTGGCTGTGCTGCTGACTTACATAATTTGGATGCTAATCAGAACAGAATGTGTCGATATACTTCTAGACAGTTTTTATTTTGAAGCTTTTCTTTGCAATCAGGCAGCTGGAATATTCGTTAAAAAGTTTTAATTTCTATTCATTTCTTTCTGTTCCGTTAGCTTCTCTACTGCTGTGATGATTGTGGCTGTGAGGCATGAGTATTACCTGAACTTTCTATGACCTAATCAAGCTTGGGTAAAGATAAAAACCAGGCCTAATTTCTCTTCCTTTGTGCTCTTAGAATTCAAATGATATTTTCAAGGTAAAGGGGTCATCATCTCTTTTCTGCCAGGTATGCTTTTTTCTCTCATTCAGGTCGTGAATGTATTGTGAAAACTGAGCAAAATCAGATTCATGTTAAGGACATGAGCTTAGTCTTTACTTTCTAATCAGATAACAGCTATTTGTGTATAGTGCTTAGAAATCAGAGTCATGGTTCATAGTTCTATTGTGCGAATGTGTCTAAAGGCAAAGAACAAAGACAAGTCCTTGCCACAGAGAGTGGTTTCACTTTTCATTGGATTCAAGGTGACAGAAACTATAGCTGGCACTTCAAACTCACTAGATTCACTAGATTATTATTGGCAGCAGTTATGAAAAAGCAAAGCTTTCTTCACCTTTCCATGATTCTCCTTGCAAGGAACATTGGTTTTCTGGCCATCATCACAGTAATGTATCTGTTAAAGTACTGATTTTTATCAGAGATTAAATAATTAGATATTGGAACCAAAGATTGTTCCTTTTTTGCCAAGGAAGATACGAGACAAAGACAAGAAAACCATCAGCAAGATTTCCTTCACAGCAGCCACCCAATAAATTTGAGAGAGGAGCTTTTAGGGGAGGCCTTCCCCATAATTAGGCTTGTCAAGTCTCGTGCAGTCTCTGAGACACACAGCTGTGCTTGTGCTGACTCCCACCTCACCCCTTTGCTGCATCTGGGGGGAGGCACGTTTATCTTTTATATGAAGCGGTGGCAGGTCCAGCGCTGTGACCTGCTGGGCCAGGCAGTTGGCTGGTGGGAGCACTGCCAGGGTAGCAGAGTGGGGGGTGGAGGAGGGTGGTGCTTTGATGCCTATCCAGAGTGGTTGGACTCAATCTTAAAGATCGTTTCCAACCAAACGATTCCATGATTTCCCGGCTCGCAGGAGTACGCAGTTCCTAAATGAGCCAAACCCCGATCCCAGAAGCCTCTTGCCCTGCGACATTAAAGGAAGAAGCGCTCTGCTTCTGGCTTCCTCGTGTGGTCTGAGGGACACGGAGGCAGTTTGTCCACAGATAGATCCTTCCCCTTCTTCCACCGCTGCAGAAAAAAACGGGTGGGAAGTGTTGATAACCGCACCGCTGCCGGCTCCGGGTTTGGCTGTAGCCTCGAACAGCCGGTGACCCGGAACAACACCCCCAAACATTGTGAAATTCGCTGGCTCTTTCTTTTCTGGGGGGGCAATTAAGCTCAGAGAGGAAACCACGTTCTCGCTAGGACCGAGAGTCACGGTCTGGTGAAGGGGAGGGAGATTTGCACCCGCGCAGGGAACAGGAATGGGATAAAGAGCTTTTTGTCGGTGTAACCGGAGCAGAGGAAGCAGAGGGTGGGTGGATTCACCGAAGCCCACGACTTCACCGGTGAGCATGGTGACCTCCGGCTCAGCCGTCTCCGCGAATTCTCCCTCTGAAAACATTAATATTGAGCCGTGGCAGCCAGGAATTAATCCCGGGAAGGTTTAATGCTTTATTAAATGAGTGGCCATACGAAACAGTCGCCCTCCCTTGTGTTTTTTAGCCTGCCTCGGTTTCTCCCTGGGGGCTGCTGGTGCCTTTTGGGCTTTCACACGGGGTCCCAGGCCCTCGGCCGGATGAATTTCAGGGTTTTAGCGGGCAGCTCCTCGGCTGTAACGCCGCCATCGGCACCGTGCGGCGAGGACGATGGCGGTGACCAGTCTGTAGTTGGGTGGGGGTTTTTTTGGGTGATTTGTTGAATTTCTCTCCTTAGTTTCTACCACTTGGCACAGTAACGATGACGACGTGTACCGGGCCCCTCCGATCGACCGCTCCATCCTGCCCACCGCCCCGCGGGCTGCTCGGGAACCCAACATAGACAGAAGCCGCCTCCCGAAATCCCCCCCTTACACCGCCTTTCTGGGAAACCTGCCCTATGACGTGACGGAAGAATCCATCAAGGACTTCTTCAGAGGACTCAATGTGAGTAACAGTGCGGAGCCCGGGCTGGGCTGCAGTGCTGGGGGTAACGTGGGTTGTAAAAACAAGGATTTTGGATGCAGTGATCCCCTTTCGCGCCCCGTTTCCCTGTGTCCGTTCCTGCTTCGCTGCGGATCGGCCGAGGAGGCTCCTGGCTCCCGCCGCTTCGTTTGGGGCCGGCGCTGGCTGGGTTTTCCCGCCG